GCCTGACCCAGGCCTCCCTCCAGGGCCGTCCGATCACTGAACCTAGTGGGTTTTATCTTTCCAGAGCACTCCCGTGAAGATTGCTTCTATAAAGACATGACCACACAGGTAAAGAAAAGCACAATGTTAATTAAGCAAATTGCTGGCTTGATGTGTTTTTTGGCTGCTCACATGTAATATGAATTATTTTTTCTTTCCAGTATGGTATTCTCTTCAAGCAGGAGCAAGGTGAGCAAACAATAATGGGTGTTGAGCATTATTGGTCTTCTGAGGTGATGTAAAACTGGCAGGTATACTTGCGAGGTGACCTGGATTGTGTTTATGTGGAGTGTAAATCTGAGTAGCTTAAAAACAGCTGTTCTGTTTTTCAGCAGTGACCTTGGTCACACAAACCGTGGTGAGTTTTGAAACAATGAAAACTGTGACAAGTCTCTCGGAGCACTGATGGACCTGAAGAGCAGTGGGTCTATTGCAAAAGTGATTGTTGTCATCCATCAAAAGAAACCACAATTCTTAATTCCTGTGCTTGTGTTCTAGCTCATGATGATGCCATTTGGTCAGTTGCCTGGGGGAAAAATAAAAATGATGGTTCTGAAACAGTGATCTCTGGTTCCTTGGATGATCTAGTGAAGGTCTGGAAGTGGTAAGTGCTGCATGCTAACCTGTCTTAGGCCTCGGGAGTACTCAGTAGGGAGATAAAAGACTCTTGAATTTCCACAATCCACAGGGATGTTAGAAGTTATATCAGGGCAGGGGTAGCTTGGTGCACTGAGCTGTTCTCTTAAGCAAGCTTACCTGCATTGGTGTGTGCTTTCTCTTGGAGTAGTGGGGTTCTGGTGTGCTCTCATTATCAAATAATGAGAACCCTTTTGAGATGTCAGATTTTACATGTCCTCTCCCAGAGAACACTTGGTGTATTTCTAAACCAAATAATGCAAAGTGTAGCTTTTGATGAGACAATGCATTTGGAGATGTGCACTGTCAAAGGAACAGTGGGGGTAGAGCAAAAGAGGAAATGACATCTACCTTGTTTTTTAAAAATAAATAAATCCTGACAATCCTCACGGAAGCGTGCTTTTGCTAAGAACTTACTCTGTCTCTTAGCCAAAGCAGCGTGTGGTGATTATAAAAGTGTTGGTCACAATGCTTCTTGCAGTGCTGACAGATGAATATCAGCTCTGTGAGCACCCACAGACCAATGTGTGATGGACATTTCAGTGGCACAGCTCAGAAATTGAGATGAAGTACCTGCTTTGCAGGAATATGGTAAATTACTGATTTGTCAGTTCTTTCCCCTGAGTACAGAGCTTGTGCATAGCTCTCTTCACATTTTATAGATGAACTCGGATTGCTGTTGTGCTGAAGGAAATGGAAAAATGTGGATTGTCATATTTGGTTTGTGTGAGGTTGGGGATCAGTGCAGTACCCCCAGTGTTCGTAACTAGGCTTTTTTTCCCTTGCACTAAAGGAACGATGAAAAATTGGATCTGCAATGGACTTTGGAGGGTCACCAGCTGGGAGTGGTGTCTGTGGATATCAGTCACACAGGCGCCATTGCAGCATCCAGCTCCCTGGATGCCCACATTCGCCTTTGGGATTTAGAAACTGGCAAACAAATCAAGTCCATAGATGCTGGTCCTGGTAAGATACCAGTGTCGAGCTGGCTCTGCACAAGAAGTGTACTGACACTTGCTAGTAAATACTGTAGAGTGTAGTATTAGGGTATGGGAGGTAACTAGGGTGTTTGGATTTTTTAATCTTTCCTTGCAAAAATCATAGTGGTTTTATGAACTCAACACAAAGCACTATCAGACATTTTAAAATTTATTTTTACACACTACTTATGCATTCTCAGATACATATAGACAAGCTTTTTGTGTAAAAATCAGAATGGAAACCAGCTTGCTCTTACAGATGTATTGATAAAAGGATATTTGAATAAATAACTGAAATGCTTATTTAGATCAATTTACAAAGAAGCTCCAAACTTCTGTCATAACTTTGTAGTGAATTTGAGCCATGTATGTGATGGTTGTTTATGCAGCACATTCAATCCTGGCTAAGCAAGTCAAAACAGGTAAACAGTGTTAACAATGTTAATGTCCTCCAAGTTGGAATTGGGGGCCTAAGATCTTATTCCAAGTATTTAATTGGTTCACTGGTAGTTGCTAATTTAAGAACAACCTTGCAATGGTTTAGGTAACTAATAAGCTTATAGAAAAAAAATGGTGAATTACATTGTGCCAGATTAATACATCGTACTGCCATAAAAAATTGTGGGTTTTTACATTCTGTTGGAGGAATGTTATCTGTGTTACATTTGTGTATCTGCACTTCTCCTGCATCTTCTGTGCTTTGCTAGGTACTAGTGTTGCTTCCTTTTACTAGTTTTATTATCTTTTGGTACCAGGAGAGAAGTAACCATTTAAACTTAACTGATGCACTCTTAAATTATAAATTTATTCTTACTGGTGGGTCTAATATGCTCAGGGTCTTACTAGAAAATGTAAACTTTCACTGAATGGAGCTGTGCTCTGCTAATTACATAGAAGGAAGTTAACTTTCATGAGCTTGTGCACTCTTTTCTTAAGAGAATGTAGTAGAGTTCAGAGTAGCGAGAGTAGTTAGTTGTTGCTTCCACTAACTTCTTCTACTAACTTGTTAGTTAGTAGTTATTTCTTCCACAGTAGTTTTTGCTTGTAACCTTTTCAGTTATCTACAGATACAAGGATTTTACTATTGAAGTACCAAGTGAAATTGGATTTCCCCTGTTGTTTTAGCTGTTGTCTATACTCTCATTAAATGTCTAAACAGATGCATACAGAACCAACGTTGTTGAATAAGAACTAGAAACAGGATCCAGCTAACTGAGTTTTTTCTTAATACAGTTGATGCCTGGTCCTTGGCCTTTTCACCTGATTCCCAGTACCTTGCCACAGGAAGTCATGTGGGAAAAGTCAATATTTTTGGTGTTGAAACTGGAAAGAAAGAATATTCTCTGGACACCAGAGGAAAGTTCATCCTTAGCATTGCATATGTAAGAAGCTCAAGTGATAATTTGTCATATGAAATTGCTATCACTGTAGCACATTGTAAATAGATATTTTTGTTTCCTGTCAGTTTATTGCTACATAATACTAAATGATAACCATACTTCGGTAGGTCCAAATACAAATTGTGTGACATCTCCCCCCTGCATATATGGAAAATATACTTTGATTTTGCTTATACACATATTGTCAGGTGAAATCTCAGAGATTTTTTGGAGCCCAGGTATCTTGCATAGATGGTTATTTGAGAAAAGTTGCCAAGACAATATCAGGGCTTACATAGCACAAATGCACACAGATGTTGAATCACATTTTGTGTTATATTACAGAGTCCAGATGGAAAATACTTGGCCAGTGGAGCAATAGATGGCATTATCAATATTTTTGATATTGCAACTGGAAAACTTCTGCATACGCTAGAAGGTAATGGTTTGGTTATTTGCAATACCCAAGTTCTGGCCTCATTGCTCAACAAAGTTAAAGAATATAATGCAGGTCAGAAGAAGCTACAACAGCTGTGGCATAACTGAGTTGATGGTTTTGTCCATTAGACAGTATTCAGTTATTTTATGTGCTCTAACTTAAACCACTTAGAATATTAGAGGCTTGTAAATTCAGGCTTGCATCATAAATGCCTGTTCAAAAGATAGTCAGTCATGCTTAATTCAGTTCTTCCTGTATTGCACTGCAGTACAAGGGAACGAAGTGAAGCCAAACGTGTGCTGCCATGCATACGGGTTTTCTTTTTATTATGGTATCAGTTCTATAGCAATTTATTCCTGTTTTAAAAAATAGCTGAAAATTTTATGTTGTAGAAGATGTGCATTTTTCTAACAGATAAATGGGCTTTCAATGTTCATGCTGTTTCTGTCCAGTTGTAAAAAACCCCAACCGCTTAAATATAAAATCATACTATAAAATATTACATAATTTCTAATAAAGATCCACAGCTGAAAAAAATTAAGATACTCTTGTGTTGCAAACATGCCCTAATATTCAAAGTTGTGAATTACTGTCCATTTGCAGAAGCCTGTAGATCCTACGAAGAGGCTTCAGACGTTGCTGTCTTTGAACAGGGTTTTGGTTCTGTTCTGGTGTAGCTGCTTAAGCACTGTCATTAGTAAGAGCAATAGCTATGTTCTAAGCCATGTGTCCCTTTGAATTTCAGGTCATGCAATGCCAATTCGGTCACTGACATTCTCTCCAGACTCTCAGTTACTGGTAACTGCTTCAGATGATGGGTATATAAAAATCTATGATGTGTAAGTTGATACTCCATACAGCACGCTAACAGGAAAATAGCTATTTAGAGAGGATGATACTGTAAAAATATATCAAACACTCTGCTCTCTATAATTCCTTTCAGCTTTTGGTGACTTCTTGATATAAAAAAACAATCTTACATCACAGTGTATAGGCAGATGACAACCTTAACTTGAAAACAAATTACTTTCCTCCTCTTTGTCCTGTAGGCAACAGGCTAATTGTTTTGTGTATCTGTCCTGTGTGTTCGTATTTAGCCTTCTTAAGCATCTGTTCTGTACCCAAGAAATCATATTTATGACCTACTTCTGTTGAATAGTGCAAAACCTTGGAGGAAAAGGTGCTGCTTCAGTGATCTTCACTCCCCTAAACTTGGCTTTGACTTCTTCATGGTGAAACTATTTTGTCCTCCAGTGTATCTTCTCAGTGACTTCTTTTGATGTTAACTATTTGAAATGGAAAAACAGAATCTGTTGTAACACCAGTTCAGCTTGGATGAACAAATGCCCAGCAGTCATATTCCACTGAACCATTCCTGATTGCACGAGCTAGAGTGTATTCCTGTGGTATTTCCCCTGGAATTCACAAACCAGATCTTAAGATTTGTTGTTTCCACAGGCAACATGCAAACTTGGCTGGCACATTAAGTGGTCATGGATCCTGGGTTTTAAATGTAGCATTTTGTCCCGATGATACCCATTTTGTTTCCAGGTATTGAAAATTTTTAACTTGTTTATGCTTACTGAAAAAAAAAATTTAATATTTACAAGGAGAGATGGATCATAACAAGTAAATGCATACAAATTGTGGTGGGATCTGTAGTGGAGTAGCATACAATTAAAGACTCGAGCCAATCTGTGATGTGATACATCACAGTTGTAGTGAATAGTATTTTATAGTGTAAGTCATCCCACTGCAGTGCAGTTCCCTACAAGTGAAGAACACCTAACCTGAGAGAAGGGCAGTTGGATTCTAAATAGCTGAAAAGCTGCTGTTGAATTAAAAAGTACACCCTAATACAGCAGGTCATTAATCTACTCAAACTTCAATGTTAAATCTCAAAACAGCTCAGGCAGTGTGGGAACCAAGTATATTTCACAGTAATTTCCTTATCCAAAGGACTTGCTTCTAAGAATTTTCTGGCCAAAATGGGAGCCTTCATTTTCATATGCAGATTGTGGAACAGTAAATGTATTTTAAAGGTAACTAGAACCTGGCAGAAGATGTACTCCTTTGCTACTTCATCCCTGTATTTGATATGTGAAAGAGGGTTTCTTATGTCTACCACATGAGATCTTCGCATTAAACCATACTTAATCTATTAATTTAAACATCAATATTATTTTTCTTCCAGTTCATCTGATAAAAGTGTAAAAGTCTGGGATGCTGGAACAAGAACCTGTGTTCATACTTTCTTTGACCATCAAGATCAGGTATGACTACTATTGCCTAGGTCAAGTGTTCCTTGTGAGAACTTGAGTTGCAATAGTTGTGCACATTTGTGCTTCACCTTGGTGCTGCAGATTTGGGGTTGGACTTTTGCTTGCTGTAATGAAATCTTCAAAGTTGTGTTTGTCACTTAATACTGAACTAATACTCCCAAGTTTGTGGGTTAATCTCTTCCAAGTACTCAACATTTTTCAGGCCCAATCCTGAGTGGCAATCCTGAGTGGCCAAAAGTCTAACCAGACTGTATGTTACCTTTGTCTATAGTCTTACTTATTTCTGTCACTTACACAGCGTGTGCATGTGTAAGGCGGGGAGGGGGGGAATACTGATTTAATTTAAAAGGATGGAATTACCTGAGCAGATGCTCGAAAGCACCCTTGAAACTTGGGACATTTCCCTCTCAGATGTAATACTGTGGGGTTTTCTTAATTTATTGCTCAGTGATAGCTACCTGTGAGGGAAGAACTTGGGTATCTGAATTTACTCTTTGTCCAAATGTTAGGTGATAAATTGAACGTTCTATTTTAATGGATCACTGAGGAAGACTTTAACAAAGGAAATTCTTCCAGACTGAGTTGTTTTTTCCACAGTAGTTTTTGCTGGTAACCTTTTCAGTTATCTACAGATACAAGGGTTTTACTATGGAAGTACCAAGTGGAATTGGATTTCCCCTGTTGTTTTAGCTGTTGTCTATACTCTCATTAAATTTGTGGCTAGGAGGGATCTATCAGTTGGGAAGGCTGGCACTTGGTATTAATGCAAAATACAGTACAAGACTCTCCAAAAACATGCTGTTGTCAATTGTGCAAGCTCCTGTTAATGTGCTGGGTAGCCTTCACCATTCCTGATGCCTGTTCCCAGGGAGATTATTAAATCAGTGCCTTAAATCAGAGCACTGACTAGTATTTTTTTAAATTTTGCACTGGTAAGTAAATGGCTCCTCAAATAGTCCAAGGATGAAGCTTCAGTACTTCCTCTCTTGCTTTCCTGAAAACACTGTAAAAGCCTATTTTTAAGAAAGGAGCACACAATAGGCAGGAGTGAAAATGCTGCATATGATTTATGCAAACTGAGGCTAGTGCACCTTTTTCAAGTAACTTTAGGTTGTGTAATCCATTGTGGACTGTAAGCACTTGTCAGGCTCCTAGATGGCAGTGTCCTCTACTTCAACAGCCTTATCTGCTGTTAAAGCAGAAGCCCTAATTGGACCAGCTCTAATACAGTGATTTTAGATAGTCTTCCTTCTGCTGCTCATTGTAATAAACGGCTGCTACAAAGACATTTTTTTACTTTCTCCTCTGTTGATAACCTGGTGTATGTCTTGTTTGCAGGTTTGGGGAGTGAAGTACAACGGAAGTGGGTCCAAAATTGTTTCTGTTGGAGATGACCAAGAAATTCATATTTATGACTGTCCTGTATAAATGCCTCGACTCAGACGCCGGTCAACTCTTCTGGCAGTTTTAAGGACTGATATTGTCCTGTCTAGTTTTTTTAGTACAATAAAAGCATTTTAATAATGCTGATCTGCAAACACAGATGTTTGTAATTTTGATTTTGTTTAGCATGAGAGAAGGCCTTACTTTTTTAAAATAAAAGCTACAGGGGCCAGTCCTTGTGTCTAATCCTTGGACAGTGTATTTTTGGAAATACGTAGTCATGGCTGAAGTAACTGCTCAGTTAATCTCCCCTGCCTTTATACATGAATAGAGCAGAGCTGCAAAGTGTTGGCCAAGTCTCACAGCAGCTTATTTTAGCAGAAGGAAAGCGAGTGGGGCTGTGTTGTAAGCGTGGGCAGTGCCAGCCTGAGCTCAGCTTGATGCTGTCCCTGGTAATACAACAGCGTCACTTAAGCTGAACACCTGTTTCAGCACTTGTGTGGTACACCGAGCTCATTCATCATGGTTTAATTTTATTAAAGGGTGCAAGTTGTTTCCAACCCTGACTTAATAAGCACTACTAGAAAACAGATAAAAGGGAAAAAAGCTTTAATGTGATCATTGTACTGTTGGTATTTTGTCATGTTATAGAACAGCAGCATACTCAACACCTGTCTTTGGTTTATTTATCTTAGTTAAGGCACAAGTATACAATGCCTAGGAGGAAGTAAAAAAACAGTTCTATGGAAGGCTGAAATACAGAGCTTGAACTTCTGAAAGATTAAAATTTTATTTGGAAGTATTTGCATGTATGTAATGCATTAGAGGACAGCTTGTAACTAGGTCAGGCATTCAGAGCAAAGCAGCTGAAGGAATGCTCCTGTAAACTCACAGAGGAACACAGGAAAG